TCTTTTAGAAGTTCCACATTGATTTTTGTATAAGACTTAAAAGTGTTTATAAAGCTGAAACAAACACAACAATTCAATTGTTGGTTAGAAAAATGGACCAAAGACATGACCTAATAACTAAAGGCCCAAAAAGTTTCATTTAAAATTTTGATTAATTAATAATAAAATATTAATCATTAATTAATTAAAATAATATTAATAAGTTAATTATCCTAGTCAATAAAAAAAGTCTTAAATTAATTTTTTAAAAATGATCTGGCCATAGATAAAAAGTCTTAAAATGGGGAACCAAAACCCAAAAAAATACAAAATAGGGGGACCATAGTTGCAATTAAGCCTATATAAATATTTATTATTATTATATCAAAGCAATTAATACATTAGTTAAAAACATCAATATTATTATATAATTATCAGAAAAATATTTATTACTAACATATATATGACGACACAAGAGTGCCTTGGAAAAACTTAATTAGATCCAATAGAAGCCGACCGCGAGCAGTTTTTTGTCTATGGCAAGCTTGCCATGGAAAACTTGCAACCAAGGATAGATTAAAGCGTTTTGGCATGATTCAAGACAGCCAGTGCAGTTTATGTCATACTGAGGAAGAAACGATGAACCATCTATTTTTCTGCTGTCAAGGAATAAGACACATTTGGAAGAAAGTGCTCCATTAGTTTAACATAGTTCATACTCCTCAACCTTGGGATGCCGAGTTGATCCGGATAACTAACATGACTAAAGGTAAAGGCTGGAAAGTGGATATTTTCAAAATGCTGGTGGCTGAAACCATCCACTGCATATGGGGGTATCGTAATAGTACTACTTTTGATACACCTGTAGATAATACAACCGTGGCTACTAACATTATAGATAACGTAACCTATAGAGGGTGAAAAACCTTAAGATTAGGAAGCATCTTGTTAGTTATACGATGTAAATTGGTCTTTTTTGTTGGGTTGGATCCTACGGGATCACCATTTTTGTACTTCCTTTCGAATTAATATATTTTTCCTTTAATTCAAATTTTTTTTTCATAAATTAATATAACTACATATTAAAAAAATATTAATATAACTATAAAATATTTTTTTTTAAACTTATATTAGTGATTTTAATTATTATATATTTATATTAATTTGTTGATTATTGTATAATTATATTAATGATTTTAAATAATCAAGTATTGTCACTTGAATAAATAATATTCAACAATCTAATATAACTATATAATAATCAAAATCATTAATATAAGTAAAAATAATTATTTTATTGTAATACTACTAATTTTGATTAATATGTAGTTATACTAAAATATTAAATATTTTTGGCAAAATATCTTTTTTGGTCCCTTAACTATATCTCGGGGTTCATTTTGGTCCCTTAACTTTAAAAAGTTTCATATTGGTCCCTTAACTCTTCAAAGGTTCCATATTAGTCCTATTTGACCTATTAGCGACAGATTTAGCGATGATTTTTTGATTTTTTTCCGTCGCTAATAGGTCAAAAAGGACTAATATGGAACGTTTGAAGAGTTAAGAGACCAATATGAAACTTTTTAAAGTTAAGGGATCAAAATGAACCCCGAGGTATAGTTAAGGGACCAAAAAGGATATTTTGCCAATATTTTTTTAAATATAACAATAATATATATATATATATATATATATATTTGTAGAAAATATTTTTAGATTATTATATAATTATATTGATGGTCTTAATTAATTTATTCATTTATTTTAATTCAATAACAATAAATATTTGTATATTAATTAAAAAATAAAAAATAGTAGCAATAAAAACATTTTATGTCAAATAATCTATAAAAACAATATAATTGGTTATCATAATTCTTAACATTCATAAAATATATTTATTCTTATATTTATTCATAAAAAATAATGTGAATTAAATTTTGGTATATATATATATATATATATATATATATATATATATATATATATATATATATATATATATATATATATATATATATATATATATATATATATATATATATATATATACCAAAATTTAATTCACATTATTTTTAAAAATATTTTTTAGTTTAATATTTTAGTATAACTACATATTAATCAAAATTAGTAGTGTTACAATAAAATAATTATTTTTACTTATATTAATGATTTTGATTATTATATAGTTATATTAGATTGTTGAATATTATTTATTCAAGTGACAATACTTGATTATTTAAAATCATTAATATAATTATACAATAATCAACAAATTAATATAAATATATAATAATTAAAATCACTAATATAAGTTAAAAAAAATTATTTTATAGTTATATTAATATTTTTTTAATATGTAGTTATATTAATTTATGAAAAAAATTTTTTGAATTAAAGGAAGAATATATTAATTCCAAAGGAAGTACAAAAATGGTGATCCCGTAGGATCCAACCCAACAAAAAAGACCAATTTACATCGTATAACTAACAAGGTGCTTCCTAATCTTAAGGTTTTTCACCCTCTATAGGTTACGTTATCTATAATGTTAGTAGCCACGGTTGTACTATCTACAGGTGTATCAAAAGTAGTACTATTACGATACCCCCAGATGCAGTGGATGGTTTCCGCCACCAGCATTTTGAAAATATCCACTTTCCAGCCTTTACCTTTAGTCATGTTAGTTATCCAGATCAACTCGGCATCCCAAGGTTATCATAAAAACAATATAATTGGTTATCATAATCTATAAAAACAATATAATTAGTTATCATAATTCTTAACATTCATAAAATATATTTATTCTTATATTTATTCATAAAAAATAATGTGAATTAAATTTTGGTATATATATATATATATATATATATATATATATATATATATATATATATATATATATATATATATATATATATATATATATATATATATATATATATATATATATATATATATATATATATATATATATATATATATATATATATATATATATATATATATATATATATATATATATATATATATATATATATATATATATATATATATATATATATATATATATATATATATATATATGAATAAGAAACATCAAATTTAAAAAGGAAAGGTTAAGATTAAAATATATTTTTAATAATTTCTATTTCCTCTTAATAACACATAATTGGTTGAAAATCACGATTTAATCTCAACCTTTTTTTTTTAAATCGGATTGTTCTTATTCATTCCTACGTTCTCATATAACTTACTCATTTTCAATATATATATATATATATATATATATATATATATATATATATATATATATATATATATATATATATATATATATATATATATATATATATATATATATATATATATATATATATATATATATATATATATATATATATATATATATATATATATATATATATATATATATATATATATATATATATATATATATATACACTAGTTATTCAAATACGAAAAAATATAGATTTCTTATAAATTAATTTAAATATTCAAATACGAGAAAAATATATATTTTTTATAAATTAATTTAAAATAAATGAGTAAATTTTAATTTTTTTTTTTGTTTTAAAATAGGAATATTATTGATCAAAATATTTTAATACATAACATCAGAACAAAAATAATATTTACATACGGAGAAAAATTTACTATTGATTTAAATATATAATAATTTATATTTATAAGCCAAATATAAATAAATATATGTCATTTTTTAAATATAATAAACTTTCTTAATTAAATTATTTTGTCTTATTATATTTTTATGAATGAATGATATTAAAATTGTATGATAATATGAAATATTGCTAATTATTTTATGATTAAAAAAAATAAAATTACTATATTTTAGGAATAAGACATATTAAACTTATAATAAAAAAAATATTGTTATCCAAATATTTATATAATAAAAAATAAGACATATTAAACTCATAATAAAAAAGTAACACAAAATAATATTTACATACGAGAAAATATATTATTTGATCCAAATATTTGTACATAAGTAAAAATTATATTTATGATCCATTATAAATAAAAATATATCTTTCTTTTAAAAAATAATAAACTCTTTTGGTTAGACAAATTTGATTTTCTTTCTTTTCATTTTTATTACATTTTAGAAACAAATGCGCATAACATTCAGAGTGGCCGTGTGAACGCACAAGTATCCGCAAATTTAAATAAAACTACTATGCCATTACCCGAAACAAAGTGTAAATAAACATGCATCACCAACAATCAACCGTTAATAGTTAACTTATCAAAACTTATATGTCAAAAAATAATTAATAATCATAAATAACACATGAATAAATATAAAAATGCTAAAATATATAGATAAAGAAGATCATGTTTTTAATTCAATAGAAACTAGAATTTTTTTTCACAATTTCTATAGTCTATATACTCCTTTCTTAATGTTATTACAACCAAGGACTTCTTTTTAAAAGGTGAGAGTATTTTGAAAATGAAACAAGGATAGAAATGGAATATGCCTTATTAACAACCCAAACATTCGTTTAAGATCCTCCCTTATCCACTTATTTCGATCTCATCTTTAAATCAAACAAAACCCGGAACATTCCATTTTCACCGCTTCGAAACCCTTCCATTTCCCCCAAATTTCAAACCCTAACATCGAAAATCTGCGTGCGATCTTCCCAAAGCGTCAACAAACCAATCAATCTTCATCTTCTTTCTCTTCGGTACCTCAATCCTTCTCTCCTATTTCCAATTTCGCTTTGATTTCTCTCATTTCAACACACAGTACTTCGACTTTCTAGTCTTGTTTTCGTCACTGATTTTTGTTCTTGTTGTAATTTTTCGTTACTGATTTTATCTAATTATCGTTTCTTGTCATGAATTGTTCCGAAATGTTCTTAATCTTCGATTGCTTTTATCTTACAGGGATATTCGTTTATCAAAGACGGAAAACTAGGGTTCTAGCTTCGATTTCTTGTCGAATTTGAATTATTGAACATTGTTCATCATGAAGTTTCTAGAGTGTGCTCCTCTTGACCGGTAGTTGTAATTTCGACCGAGTTTGAATAGAGTTTTGGGATTTTGTTGCATAATTTCGGTACATGATAAGTGTTCGGTAAAAATAATTTTCAGGATTAACGATTTCTTGAGTAATTTGAATCTGGGAGAAAGTACTATCAAAGGATGTCTTGAAGCTTATAGTTGTAAGTAGGAACTGGTGACTTAGAAAGAATTTTTTTCTAGATTTGATTGGGGGTAGTGCTTAACAAATATAGTGGTCTTTCTTTAGGTAAACATTCTGGAGCAGATAAAAAACTCTCTATCAGTTTGGGTAATGAGGTAAGACGGAGTTTGCATCCGGAAAAAATGAAGCTGATTTAGCAAGTGTTTAAACTTAAAAAGTATAATCAAAGATGTTGTTAATTAAGGATTTTGCATCCCTAAAAAGGATCTTTTGCTGTTTATATACGACATGGTTTTGTCAATTCAATTTATTTTCATTTTGCTGTTGTCAATTGATAATTGTTTATTGAACTTCTTCAATTTCAGATTCTTGATTATCTTGGAAAGTCATCTGACAATGATTCTTCCTCGCCAAATGAATCCTTAATAAATAGAACCAGGTAGCAATTACGGTTACTACCTAGATAGGTTAAACAAAATGAAAATTATCTTTGAGACCGACTTATTTTATGTAATTTTATTATATTTTTTTCAGCCGGAAGACATTGGTTTACCTGATTCTTGCCCTCTATCACATGTATCCAGATTATGACTTCAGGTACCTCAGTATCTTATGATGTATCAAAGATTGTTCAAATGATAAAAACTTAAAAAGAAGGATTATGGGTAATGCTATTGTCAGCTTAAACGGCGACATGGCAACCCGCTATATAATCCTTTTTTATTTTATTGGAAGTGTTGTCAAAAAGGCCTGACAGACAGTTAACAACTGTTGCTCTTGAAGCTGAGAGTTCAAGTCTCTCCATTTCCCAAATCTTACTGTGGTCAATTAAGTGGTTTAACAGATTTACTTTTACTCTGTGTTTCTGCTGTTGCATCCTTTTCTGTTTCCTATAATACCATACGCGTATAATGGTTTTTAGTGCAGTTAAAGCTCACCAGTATTTCACAGAGGAATCATGGGACAGTTTTAAGCAAATTTTTGATGCTTATATGTTTGAAGCCTCAAAGGTGCTACTATTTACCATTGTATATGTGTACAAATTTCTTTTAAGTATATACAGGCGTTTGATGTGTGGAATCTTATCACCATATTATATGTAGGACTTGATGCTTGCTTGGGTTAAAATTCGTGGGTCTTTTTTTATAAGATTCCTATATTTTGTAATACTTCTTAGTGTCTTAAGCATGGTTGGCAACAGTGTTGTTTTCTGCATCCAATAGTTTATGCTACTTTCAATACCTAAAAATACTTGTAAGGGTTAGGCACAAAAGGAATAAGGACAATTTCATTTAAGTGTATACGACACTCTTATTTTATCATAATAAGGAAACAAATCGGTAGATATAATGAGATATAAAGAGGTCATCTACGTACTTCAAGCCATTCTAGTATATGATAATGATATCATTAGACACTACGAATTAACACTCGAGTTAACATAAAATGTCCCAGCAAAACATGATTGAATATTCAACCTCAAGCCATTCTAGTATATGATAATGATATCACGAGACACTACGAATTAACACTTGAGTTAACATAGAATGTCCCAGCAAAACATGATTGAATAGTCAAACCCAGGGATTTTAGATTTATCAAAGGAATCATTGTTGTCGGAGGGGTAAAAGTTTAGTATGAATCATCATTTGGGCCGAAGAGGTTGTTGGAATGTTTCATGACAGGACAAAATCGAGTGGTACTATTGCATACTATGCAAATGTAAGAACAAACAGATACCTGAGCCAACTGAAAAAAACCCAACTGATTAAATAGTAAGTGCACACTTGATTTGAAGAGTCCAAACCAAACATGGCAAAGCACATCCCAAGGGGGCCAAACAGCTAGGGAAGAGGATGAGAATGAGAATCCAAGTAAGGTTGAATCTGGCAGGAGGCACAAAGGAAAGAAAGTGGGACCAGTGTCAGGGAAGTGTGCTTCTTCACATGAGGAGGGTTGAACTTGCACAAACACCCCGCTCCCCCTTTTATCTCCCTTATTTTTCTCTCAAAGTGACCGATTCCCCCTTTTCCTCAAACATTGTTAATACCAACATTCATGCACCCGGAGAAAGAACAATATTTATTAGCACAGAATTTTCCTCATTGTTCCTTCCATGTTATTTTTTGATCAAGCTGTAAATTAATTATCAGAGTAAAAATGGGCATTTGTTAAAAAAATGTCAAGCTCCTCCACCCCAACCTGGTCGGTCAGTTTGGTAACCGTCCAGTCCAGGTCCTTAGGAATCTAAGATTCTCATGGACTGGAAAAGGCATATCAAATCCTGCCAAATAAACATCTTAGCTGGATAGAATGCACTATGGTTCATGATTTCTTTATTGACATTAACCATAACTTGGAGTGGATTCTACTTATCTCGTTCTGTATCTGTCATTCTTTTGTTGGTGCAGAATTTGTTTTATGTTATTACTGTAATTTAAGGCTCCTCTGGTTTGGATGACATGTCAATTGCAGGAATGGGTTGAAACCTTTGGGGGTGCTTCTCTGCTGGATGCCTTGTTCAAGGCCCTTGATGAGGTGAGTTTAATATAGAATATAAGTTGAAGTGATGCCTAGACAGACATTTTAATGATATTTTGTGAGGCAGGTTGTGACGTTATCTGACTGCGAAATTTATGGCTATTTACCTGATCCTGAGGCAGACCCGTTACCAGAGAGAGGAGCCATGTAATTTCTTTTTGCCACATATGCTTAAAAAATCACCAGCACAATGTCTGTTTGTAGATTTTATATTAATAACCTTTTTTTTTTTTTGTTTTCTGCAGTTGGTCCTTTAATTTCTTGTTCTACAATAGAAAGCTTAAGCGGATTGTGACATTTCGTTTAAGCAGTTTTAGGTGAGTTAATTATAACCTTCATGTAACTAATTGAACTGCATTTTGTTTGCATCTATATTCACTATTTGAACAATGCTGTTTGTGTCAGCAACTTGATTGCGGATGGATTTTCTTTTGACGAGATACTCGATGAGTACGATGAGGAAATATTTGCTGACATGGATATATGAGTTAACATAATATATCTATTATGTTAATATGTCCATACACTCATCCTCCAATGTGCAGTTTCTGAATTGTAAGATCCTTGTGCAGTTTTTGTAATATTTAAGATAGTTTATTTGCTAGTCATATCGTATTTGTAGGTTGCTACTTGCAACCTTTCATGTATGTATGCATGCATACTGTAGTTCTGTACCTATCTGTGTGCATGTAACTAATCGTATTCAGGACACACCTCAAGTGCAATGCAATAATAATGAAAACAAACTTATTTGGCATTGGAACGATGATTATTGGGTATGTACTTATTTGGCATTGGAACCATGAATATAGGGTTTTAAACTACACTATTCTGTAAATTCTGTTCAATTCACCATTATGCTCATGGAATATTTGATACCAGCGTTAAAGGGATGTCATGTTACACCTCATGGTCATGGTTGTGTTGTGTATACAACAGGACTATTTTCAATTATTCATCAAACAAAATATTATAGTCTTAATTTGTAAATTTGATGCCGGTATGCTCCTTTCGTTGTATTAATTAATTTGACAAGTGCATTAGTTGTTGTGTATATGTGCATGAGTCTTACTTAACTAAGTGGAGAAAATGAACAATAATGAAAATGATTGAGATATATACTTCTTGTCACCTTATAAATAATCAATTTGAGAATAACAAGCGTACTTTCAGTTACCTTCTCTTTTGATATCTCTTCTCATATTATATATACAATGTAGGAGTATATAGAAATGCTAAAAAAATGCCTGGGTACTCCTTAAAGGTTTAAAAAAATATATTTAATAGAAATAAATTTATTCAACGTTTTGGAATTTTTTTATAGAACAATATATATATATATATATATATATATATATATATATATATATATATATATATATATATTAAAATTGGGGATATTAAAATTAGTATTAGAATTTGAATTCTGACTGTCAACCTATTAATACTAATACGGTTTGGACAAAATGTTTATTTAGAATTTTTTCAGAGTTCTGATTGAAAGATGGAGATGAAGTATTACAATTGGGTTAACATTCTTACTTCATACTATCTAAAATAATATTTTGAAGTAAAATATTATTAAAAAATATTAAAAATTATAAATGTAATGCATTATCATCGTCCTAGAGTGAAAATGTGATTCAATGTTGTTAATAGGATTACAATTTTTTGACGATGAAAAAGTATATTAAAATAAGATATTATAAATATTAACATTAAATAAAAAAAAAGATTGAAATAAACTAAAAAGAGAAGTTTATGGTACTTAATACTCAAACGTAAAAGCTCGCCACTTGAATATGTGATAAGCTGTTTTATTTTTTTTTAGAACTGATTTTGTAATTTGAGATGTTAGTTTTGAAGTAGTAAAGTCATACGCACACACCCACAGTTTTTTTTTCTTTCAAAACTTTATCTATTTTCAAAATATTTTTTGAAATCACCTTATATTATATTATGCCAAAATATTTTAAATCAAATCATAATTGATTATAAAGTCTTTATAATCAATTATATAGCAAAATAGGCATATAATGATTATGTGGCAAAATTCATTTAATAATCAATTACAGAGAATAGTAATCAATTTTGCTTCTGACCCGACATTTTTTATATATTTGAAATTGATTATGGAACAAACCTTCCAAAATTATCTTATTTTTTAAATATTTTAATATAAAAGGAAGCCTTGTGTTTATTTAAAAAAACACAAGATTTCAGAAAAACACTTTCTTCTTTATTCACATTGTTTCAAATCTTCATATTTAAAACTGTTGAATTATTTTCAATTAGTTTAATTTTGAATTTCATTTGCATTTGTATGTGAGTTTCATTTGAATTTGAATTTGAGTGTATAAACCCAAATGTAATTGCATTTGTAACAGAAGACTCTCTCTCTCTCTCTCTCTCTCTCTCTCTCTCTCTCTCTCTCTCTCTCTCTCTCTCTCTCTCTCTCTCTCTCTCTCTCTCTCTCTCTCTCTCTCTCTCTCTCTCTCTCTCTCCCTCTCTCTCACACACACGAACGCGCGCGCGCGCACACACACACACACACACACACATACTCTCTCTCTCTCTCTCTCACACACACACACACACACACACACATACTCTCACACACACACACATACTCTCTCTCTCTCTCTCTCTCTCTCTCTCTCTCTCTCTCTCTTCTTTATCTTCACCAATTCATGTACATTGTTAACAGAGGTTTATTGTTGAACTTCAACAATTGGTATCTAGAGCTTCGGTTCTAGCTCAAGAACGGGAAACACGAGTGTACGCGAGGTGTGCGATTGATATTGTTTTTGAAATTCACATTGAATTAAAGTTTGAAATCGAACAAAATTACATTTCTTGATTTTGTGGGATTGGAAAACTCGAGTGCTGGTGAGTATTGAGTGATTTGCTCAAGAACGAAGATGAATGAAGGAAACGGTAGCTTGAACACAAAGCTTCCAGTATTTGAGAAAGAGAATATGTGGATGATTCAAATGCGTGGGTTGTTTGGCGCTCAAGATGCTCTTGATCTCGTCAATGAAGATTACACGCCGATTGCAGAAAATGCAATAGAAGCGTAAAGAAATGTGCAACGTGAAACGATGAAGAAGAATCAGAAGGCATTGTTCTATATCCATCAGTGTGTGAATATGATTGTGTTTGAGAAGAATACTGATGCAACAACGACGAAGGCGGCGTGGGATACACTAGTGCGGTATTATGGTGGCAACGCCTTAATGAAGAAGGTGAAGTTGCAATCCCTGCATAAGCAATATGAGAATCTCAGCATGAAGGACAATGTGAAGGTACCTGAATATGTCTCCAAAGTGATTGAGGTCACAAATGAGATGAAGGCTTGTGGAGAAACGCCTATGAACAAGTTATTATTGAGAAGATAATAAGACCACTTACTTCTCAATTTGACTAAATAGCTGTAGCTATTGAACATTCTAAAGACATTGTTACCATGAGAGTTGAAGAATTTCAGAGCATTCTAGAGGCATAAGAGTTGCGTCTTCTTGAGAGGAACTCTGAAAGGGAGTATGAGCAGGCTCTGAAAGCTTCTTTTGTCAAGAAGAACAAGAAGCAAGCATGTTCTGAGAATCAAAGAAAGAATGGTGGTGTTCAGAATTCAGAATCCTCTAATCCAGATGAAAAGAAATACACGAGTGTTCAGAAGGGACAAAGAAGTTTGAGAAGAGAAAGGTTCATTGTTACAACTGTAATAGGTTTGACCACTTTCTTGCTGATTGTTGGCTAAATAAGGAAAGAAAAGGTGAAGAAGCCTATATAGCTAGAGGAGATTTTGATGATGAACATGTCATATTAATGGCATTTGAGAATGAAGGTGAAAAAAATGGTAGATTGGTGGTATATGGACACTGGCTGCTAAAATCACCTAATTGAATATAAGAAATGGCTAGTTGATTTTAACTATGGTAAAAGGACCAAGATCAGATGTGTTGATGATAAGTATCTGAATGTTGAAGGAATGAGAAATGTTAGAGTAACTCTGAAGAATGGTAAAACTGCACTGACTCGGGATGTGTGGCATATTCCTGGCATAAAAAGAAATCTGATGAGTGAAGGTCAATTGATTGAGAAAGGTTTTTCAGCAACCATGAAGGACAATCTCTTGAAGTTGTATGACTGCAATTAGAAACTGATTATGAACTCTGAACAGGGAAGAAATAGGACATTCAAGGTGAATGTAAAAACTACAGACTCTCAATGCCTTAGTGCAACAAGTGTTGTAAAGGAAAGTGAGTTATGGTACAAGATATTAGGTCATCTAAACTTCAGAAGTTTAGGGCATCTGAGTTAAAAGAGCTTGGTTCATAGAATTCCAAAAACCGTGGCACGAGATAAATCATGTGATGTATGCATGAGAGGTAGGCAACCAAAATTGACATTCTCATCAGAAATGCCTTCAAGAGCCAAACATGCTTTGGGTGTGGTGCATTCGGATGTATGTGTGCGATTTCTAGTACATTCACTTGGAGGGAACAAGTACTTTGTTTCATTTGTGGACGAGTTCACAAGAATGACATGGGTAGCACTCATTAAGTTCAAACATAAGGTGTTTCCTGAGTTCTAGAAGTTCAAAGTGAAGGCTGAAAATCAAAGTGGACAAAGGTTGAAGATCCTCAAACCTGATGGTGAAGGTGAGTTCAACTCTACAGGGTTCAAGAAGTAATGTGAAGATAATGGAATTGATCATGAGGTTACCTTTCCATACGCTCCTCAACACAATGGTTTCGCAACACGAAAAAAAACCAGCGAAAAAATAGAGTCGCCACTGAAAGTTAGTTATCCCGACGGGGGAAAGGAAACAATCGAATAAACCTGAAAAGGGAGAAGACATGGTCTCGCAACCAAATCCTGGGTTCGGGAGTCGATTACGCTAGAGGAAAGTATTGGCATTCCCTCGCGTTTGTTGTACTCAATGGGATCTGCTTGTTGTTCTAATCAAATGGTGTATTAATCTAAAGCCTACTGCTAAACAGAAACGGAAAGGGGAAAAACAAAAGGAGACTCGATAGGACTTTTCCGTCCTATGTCTACGTATTCCCTCGTGCAACGGGAAAGTCAGAGTCAACGTAGTTCAGAAGACTAAGGGTGAATGAGGGAAGATTGCTCGCCAAGACGTTGTCGTCTTGTGCCTGCGTATCCTTATTTGAACGAGAATGGGGAAGTCAGAGCATTCGTAGTTGAGTGTTTTTTGACGTTACATTCGCGTTCCAGTAGTTATGGTCGATGCCTCTTTATGGTAGAATGGAAGTAACATACTCTTTTTGAAAATGATTTGACAAACAATCCCGAATGATAAAATGGTTTGTAGTTTGTTTGTGAGTTTTAGGCAGAAGTGAATTGAATTGGTTTGAGATTTATATTGTACTAAAGTCTAACGACATATGATAAAATGTTTCGTAAGATCGACCCAAGACGGGACGTATACAAAACACTCTAGACAAGGTAAGGAGAGAC